CATATAGATCTGGTGCTTCTAGACCTCACTGAGGGAGGGGGGGGGGGACTCCATTTGTAAGTGATCAAAAAATAACCTGCCCTACAAAAGGGTTAAAAAGATATAGAAGGCTTCTTATCAATCAGAGCATTTAATTAGGTCGTGTTTTAATTGATTAATTTAATCAAAGATTACTTCACGGTGTTAAATTCAAAGATGCCTTTTCAAAATTAAAATGAACCTGACATTTCAGAGTCCACCTGAAGGCACTCAGCCGTGACATGCAGCTGATCGTCCCACTCAGAGCCGTTTCCCTGCGGCTGAAGCTGGATTAACCGGACAGCTAACTAGCCCGGCTAACCCTGCTGTCCGACAACAACAACCAGCCGGGACCGGTTTCCCAAACGGTGATACCAGTGTCTCCTTCCAGCCGAAAGGTGTAGCTCACCTTGTCGCTGATATTCTCGGCGGTGTCCGGGTCTCCTCCTCCGCCGCCGCCTCGCTTCCTCAGCTCAGTCATGTTTCGCTCGTCTCGCCCCCCCGGGGACGCTAATGTGTCACATAAACCGACTCACAGGGCAGGGAGGTGGGGAGGGCGAACCTTGGAGTTTCGGCAGTCGGAGTTCGGGGGGATTTTAGAACCGGTTTGAATTCCTCCGCGGTCCGTGAAGGAGGTCAAATTCCCTGAAAGTCAACCGTTGGCGACAGAAGAGCTCCGCTGTGCGGGGCCGCTTCTATACCTGTTTGTTTACCACCGCAGTCCCTGCTTCTCCTCCTGCTGGTGCGAAGACACGGAATATATAGACAAACTACTTCCGGTAGGCTCTTTAAAAATAAAAGCTAAAAAAAATCTGTAAAATTACAGTTTAGGCGAGAATAATAAACTAATAACTAAGCTAAGTAACTAAATAGTTCATTTGTTTTATTTAACTCTAACAATAATTATTTAACTATAATTAGGAAAAGCAACAGTCGTCATCACAAAGAGTTAGATTTTGCCTATTTCTTACATTTTTATAAGAACTAAGACTCTGTCAAATTCAACTACCCAGGACCACGGGATTTTAAAATAAAACAGTAGACCAAAAATTTGCTTTTTAAGTCAGAAATGTTTAAGGTAGTGTTGCACCGATACCAGTATCGTGCGGGGCCCCGATCCAGCTCTAAAATGGTGGTAGTGGTATAGGCGAGTACCAACAAATAGGGCACCGATACCATTTTATGAGCCAAAAGTTTATTCAACTATTGTCAACCATTCCAGGTAGGCAATAAAAACTTCTACTGGATTCACTTTGTATGAGTCTTTTTCCTCTTTCACAAAGGTAGGCAGCAGCTTGACAAAGCCATGATCCAGGTATCGGGCATCGGTGCAACACTAACATGAGGAGGACAATTGTTTAACAGATATTCAATCAACCCCCAAAAACAGAAAGACACACTTGGGCCATTAATGAATAAGCTGGCTGCCCACACAGTTTAGCATTCATCATATTAAAGGAAAGTCATGTGGAAGGTAAATCTGTAGTAGAAACAGAAGTGAAAGTAAATGGGAAATCATTCAGAAATTTAGTGGAGGCTCCAAAACTGTGAATTGCAGCTATAGTCGGTGTTTGACAGATATATCTAGGACATGCACCTAGATGTCTGTTTCATTTTTCAGCAGCAGGTGACTTTTAATGAATTGGTATTACTGTGCTGTGACAGCGAATGTAGGGAGCATGATCCAGAAAAGACAACTGAGCCAAAACCACAAACAGTCTATCACTATAAAGGCTGATTTTGGAGTATTAAACATGGGCTGATCATCGTGACACTGGAACAAAATAGTATAAAGTACATGACATGTCTGAGTTCAAAATTCTATTTGTATTTTTCTACAAGTTGTTTCTTTTCATTCTCTGCGGGCCACAATAATTCAGTTTATTGTTCAGACCTTTTCGTCTATCCACAGTGATTTTCAATATTAATTAACTTTTTTGTACTTTACTCTGAATTGAAATCATTTCTTAATTGATCCAGTGTAAACAGATTTTTATTAAACTTGCACACTGGGGACTTAATTTCATAATAGTGAATAGTAAAATAACAGACAGCTTAAAAATGCTGAATATTAAATCCCCCTATTACAATTATATAATATACTGCAAAAAGATAGATAAAATAGAATTGCATACTTTCATTTGTACCTATTTAACCTTAGAGGCCATTAAATGATCACATTTGTGCTATTTTATTAACTGTTTGTTTTACTTTGAAGTGCAGGAAATCTTAGTTCCGGTGTGAGTATGTTTTTATTTTTTTTTACTTTATCCACTGCTGCAGACTCACCCTCCATTCAGTTCATACTGGGTTAACCTGCTTGGCTTCTCTCTCTGCAGTAACAAGCAGTGAAAAATGACTTCAGAACACAGACACACATTCTGCATAAAACATAAAATAAACTAAAGATAAAAGCTGGTCAGTTAAGGACTGACTTCTTTAAATGCAGCAGTTATACTCAGATTTCCTCATATTGCTCCAAATAATATCTAAAGGAATAAAAAAAAAAAAAAACTGAAAGATACAATCCCGAAAAAAACACATTAAGCATTCCTGATCAAGCTGTACAGATTATAACTCAGTTCAATACAATATAGTTTTCAGTATTAGTTAATCAATTTACACATTTGAATTATTGAAACTTACAAGTTCTGCAAAATGAACAGGACATTTTCATAAATTTTACTAGAGTCCTGCCTTTAACCGCATCACATGCTCCATGCTAAGCATGGTGGGGGTAGTATCATGCTTTTGGCTAATGTTGCATCATTTATACCAGAAAAGTGCTGGATTTTTCAAACAAATGCTAGAAAAACCACATATACATCCTGCATTTTAGAGAGTTTAATATGCTGTATTAAAATTCAAACCCAAAACATAATGAAATTTAATTTCTACCATGTCTCTTCTGTGTTTCCTGATGGAAATCTGTATGTGCTTTAGCTATAAATAAATACGTTTACAAAATAAAATCCTAAAGCACATGTGATAAAATCTAAAAAAAATCATACAACATGAGTTGTGATTGTTTAAACACTGCATTAGTCATAGGAAACACAACTTCTTTTGATTGGTTTTGTCACAGTTAAATGTTGTATGTAGCTGAGCCAAACTCTTAAATCAGAATTAATAAGATCAAATGCAAGATGTTTTTTTTTTCCTCATAATTTGGTTCTTAAGGTAAAAAAACAAACAAAAAACAAAACAAAAACAGCCTACTGAACCTACCAGGCCTTGATTAACTGTACAAACATGCCATCCATCCATCTTCTGACGGGGAAACATTCAAACTCCATGCAGAAAGTCTCCATCCCGGGCCGGGATTCGAACCTGCAACCTTCTTGCTGCGCTACTGAGCAGCCCATACAAACATGCATTTATTTATATTAACGCTGAAGAGCCAAACTTCTTTGGTTAACTTGACCCAATTATTGGAATAAAAATCATAAAATCCCCATGAACAGAACCTCTCTATCAGCATAATCTGGTAAAGGGTTAGAAACCCATTTATCAGGCTTCAAGACTTCTAATTGAAATATAGAAGATCCCCAGCACCTTTGGGGAAATATTCTGTGGACAAAGTCAAAAGGGGAACATTTCTAAAGGTGTGTCCTTTAATCTAAAAGAGTTATTGTTGTGGATGAATTTGAAAACAACTCCTAGAAACGGTGGGCGAAAAGTTCTTCCAGTCACTTGATGGAGTCATTACCAGTTTTGCCAAATACAGCTGACTGTGGGATGTCATCTTCCTAATCTGGGCTTAATGAATAGCAAAGTCCAGAAGAGATTAAGGAGCATCACCGTCTTTACATTAATATCTATTACTCCTAGAGGCTGTGATGCCCTAAAGTAAATTCAGTTTTTAACACACCCCTGTGTATGCATACTCACATACTGATACTAAGGTTTCCTTGAAGCGGAAATCTGGAAACAGTTTAGATTTTATATTAAATCCAATGTATATATATATTTTTTTATTTTT